TCAACTCAATAAACCACATGTTGTGAGTCTACTAGCATGTCACCATCAGCAAAACTGGTGTTAATAACATAAATAACCAGGATTCTCACACTGTCTGCTCGCAGCTAAATTGACCATGACAGGAGAATACTGGCGAAATATGCTCCACAAATGTTGTAGGATAGGAATGCCTTATAAGTAGGATTTTGAGACTATCAGTAGATTATATATTCGCCTCATTTCGTTTAAGGTGATGAAGTTAGTAGTTATAGTCAAGGTAGATGAATTTCCCCATAACCATAACAGTAGGTCTTCCAATCCTTTTGCATTTTGCAGAATGTGACGTAGGAAAGTGCCTAACCTTGCCTGAAATTCACATTTATCCGTGGCGGTGTGGCATAGTGGTTAATATGTCGAGATTATATGCTGCATTATCATGTTTCGAGTCCTGCTGGGTTGCTGATGAGACTTATACGAGGTCGAAAATTCTTGAATGAGAATGCTTTTTGAGAAGCAAGGCTATGTGAAACTCAATGGAAATGTGAGGCCTATCCGTATGATTGTCTGAGAAAATCCGACTATCAGTCCTTAAATCATCTTAAGCAATGTAGCTAGAGTAAGTTCTTATCCAATAGTTACTGTATTCTCGAAAAATATTTGATTCGAAAATGATCATATGATAGACACTGCATCATGCCATGAAAATTCTCACTAACCTCTAATGAATAAAACAATAATACTCATATTACTAGGTAATTGCCTTAGGAGAGCTGCTCTCTGCCATACCTCTAAAGTTGATGTAAACCGCTTAATAATTGTCACAGCCTCAAACAACCCTGCCTATATTCATTATGCTGATGACTCTAATAGATCATACTGAACCAACATTTGCAAAAATCACCCTACCTATTAGACTCCCACTTTGATAACCAATCAATCTGGCATCTGACATGCTTTTTCGTTCCTCCTGTAATAAATGCCACTCTAATCTCTTCTAATCGAACTAACCAAGCCTGGTAAACTTCCTGCCCTCCTTCCGTGCCCCCGCATCTTTAGGTGGAAGAGGAGATGCGTATTCTGCTCGTCGAAAGCCAAGCCCTGCGCCAGGCCATGGAGCTACGAATGTCTCGGCTAAGCGCGGCCCTCACGGCACCTCTGCCTCTTCCTGATCACCCGTGCTCGTCTTCCCTCTGCCACTCCCACGACCAATTGCCCGGCCGGCTGTTCTCCGGCCAAGAAGGCATTGTCGCTGCCTCTGCCTCCGCTGCCGCTACTACTATTCCTCCTCATCCTCCTCCCCCTCCACCTCTGCCTCTACCCCCTCCACAACCTCCACCTTCTTCCACCACCCCCTTCACTTCAATTGCCTCTGACCCCTGTTCTGTCTTTTTCGACATGAAAAACTATGCCTCAGCATACAACCAGCCTGGTCAGTGTTCACTTCTCCCGCACCCCACAGTTCCTGGCCCCTCCTCTCATTCATTCGGCGGCAATTTGAGTCCTGCCTGTCCCATTATCGCACCTCTTTTCGGCATTACCACAGGCTCTCTGGCAGCCGTGGCAACACGTCTCCCAACATTTAACGCTTCCTCTGTTAACAACAGTAAATCACGGCCCTCAAGGCTCTCTAGCACGCTCCCTGTATCTGTGCCTGCAGCAACGCAAAAGGCAGGAGACATGGGACAAACAGCCGTTGAGCATTTTGCCATCTCCACCGTCAACGACAAGCCTCCGGTCAGGCGAGAGTCCCGGTTCGACCGACCGACTGCCAGTTCGGCTGGTGACAATTTTGGG